ACATATATAATTTTGGGGGGTGGTATTGGGCATTGAACTCAGGACCTTATGCTTGCCAGGCAGAGCTACATCCCCAGCCATAAATGCCTATGTCTTGTACTCTGACTAACTAAAGATAACAATATGCAATGTGTTAACCATTGTTATACTCGTATTATCTTGTTTTGAAATTTTTTTCCCCTTTAAAATAAAATTTTTAAAATGTAATGCAATGGTAGAGGATATGCTTAGCATGCTTGAGGCCTTGGGATCAATTTCCAGCTCCACCAAGCAGTAGCAGCAGCCAACTCAAATCAGTATGCTAGTTTATGAGACAGTGAAGAAATCACTGGATAGTTGAAGAAAAATGTTATTTATTAATATATTTAGGTGTGGTGTGTCATAAACAGAGACCTACAAATAGAATGTATGGTACAAGTGATATGCTCCCTGTGTAATGCTGAGATTTGACCAGTGAGACACCAACTGGGTATATTAAAGAATTATAAGAAGAGGGGAACATATAGAAATGGAATAATTCATAGTTAAAGGCTTCTTCACCCATGTATCTGTAGTAGTCCTAATGGCTCTGAATATTCTAAATTGCTCCCTGTGTACATTTTCTATTGCTGAGAGGTTATTCTCTGATCATAGTGTCGATTCTGACCTGCAAGAGGAGAGGGTGCTTGGGTGACTGTGTCCAGACACACTTTCTTATGGACATTTGGTCAGTAGTTGCATTAGTTGACTTATGGCCATGTGCCTTAAAGAAAATGGAAATTATTCTTTTCCCATGTTACAGTTCAGATGCATGTGGACAGTCTAGGGCTGGTGGATTACTCTGTTCAACACAAGTCTTGCATCTTTGCTCTCCCAGGTAGTAGGCTAGGGGAAAGAAAGAAGGCTAAAGATGTAAGTGTGACTGGGAGTCTACATGCTACATTTCTGCTCACCTCCTATGGTTAGAACTTACCACATGACCAGAATTAGGCACAAGGGAAGCTGGGAAATATATTCTGTAGCTGAATAATCATGCACCTAGCTATAATTGCAGGCGGTTTATTAGTGAAAAGAAAAAGAAGTGCATGAGTTGGAGTTAGCAGCTTGCCACAATTACATATCCTCTTTCCATCTCTCTCCTTTTTCAGAAAGCATCACTGTGCAGACCATGATTAACATCTTACGGGACAAAGCCAGCGGAGTCTGCATAGACTCTGAATCTTTCCTCACCACAGCCAGTATAGTGTCTGTCCTGCCTCAGAATAGAAGCTCTCCGTGTATTCACTACTTCACTGGGACGCCAGATCCTTCCAGGTTCGTCTGAGACGCAGTCACAGAGGCAGAAAGCTTGCCTCACCTCTGAGGACTCATTCAACAAGCTTGAATGAAGTCCTGGCTGTGCCCTTTCCTTTCATAGTGAAATCACATTTTTGGGTCCACCTCAACATGGGCAGTGCAGCACAAGGGCTGTGATTAGGTGAATTGTTCTAGCTCTGTCCAAGTTGATTAGGTGAAGTGGCTGTTGTCACATAGTATTTATCACAATCACCAAATGAAATAATTATTTTTTAAGTTCATCATATAGTTCTTGCAAACATACATACCATGGGCCAAGCATTGGGCTATAGATGTGGGTTGCAGAGACGTGGGATGAACAAAACATAGTGCAGGTCCTACTTTCTGGAACCAGCCCTTTCTTCTCCTCCTTCTGCAAGCTTAGTTACTATTTCTGTGCAGGGTCTGCTTTCTGGAACCAGCTTCTTCTTCTTCTTCTTCTTCTTCTTCTTCTTCTTCTTCTTCTTCTTCTTCTTCTTCTTCTTCTTCTTCTTCTTCTTCTTCTTCTT